TAAGAAAGAAATCAAGTTGTTAATAAAGGTCTGAGACACATTTCGGTCATTCACAAGGGCATGACGGGTACAGTGGTGGGCCAGGTCCTGGAACCCCCCTTGCATGGATTTAAGAAGAGTTTCCCCTGGCTGCTGGTTGTGGAATGCCTCAGGGAAGTCAGCCCCTAATGCCAAGTGCAATTCAGAAAAAGCAGTCTGGCGAGGCGCCAGGCCCTGGAGGGGCACTGTTTTCTGATGGACTGGCTGGAAGGAGAGGAAAAGATTCAGAATTTGAATACCTAGAGCAGTGGGCTGTGTGCACTTCCAGCGGGCAGCCCTCCGTGAAAGGTATTTCTTGCTCCCCAGCCTGCTCGCGGTGGGGGCTCTATCCTTTGGGGAAGAAGCCTGGCATGTGGGTATTCTTTGCTGTTTTCCTCAGCGGACAGTAGACTGTCCATCCTCTCATGAAAATCATGAAGCCTCCGACGAAAAGACTGGTATCCTCATCTGCACAGTGGTGGGCTGACCGAGTCTATGAGGACGGGACCAAGAACCGCTTCAAAAACCCCTACGCATAGGCAACCCGGCTCAGCCTCCTATACCCGGGAGCAAGCCAGCAGCACTGGCATTCGGCACTTTTTCAAAGCAGGCGTCGCTGGTGTAGCCAGTTGAGGTTGCACCCAGAATCCCATGTTCTGATGGATTGCCATGGTGATCACACTGTTTTCCTGGATTTGATGGCTTATTATCTAGTAGTCAGGGTAATCGGGGATATTTTTGCTTCTTTGTTAGAAGGGCCCGCGAGTGGGAACATCAGGGAGGGGGCACTGTGCTGCCTCGGGATTGTGCGCTGGAGGATGGGGGTGAGGAGAGGGGGGAGGGTGAGCTGCGGGCTGTTCCGGGAAAGAACTAGGAGACGAAAGGCAGCTGTGGTGGAGGAAGGGCAGGCAACCGGGGGGCTGTTCTGGTTGGAATGTTTGTATCCCCCTCCAAAATTCATACGCTGAAACCCACCCGCCAAGGCGATTCGGGAGTTGGAGGTGGGCCTTTCGGGAGCGATGGGGTCGTGAGCGTGACAGTCTTAGTGCCTGATGAAGGAGGCTCCAGAGGGATCTTTGGCCCCTCTGCCAAGCAAGGACGCAGCAAGAGTGGCTGGCTATGAACCAAAAAGGGGACCCCAACCCGAGCCCGTCCTGCTGGCCCCGGGACCTCAGACTTCCAGCCTCCGCATCTATGAGAAACATGTCTTGCGACTAAGCCCCCAGTCAGTAGTACTTGGTTACAGCAGCCCGAATGGACCGATCTTCCCCCCAGGGCTGAGTGGCCTCTAGGGGTGTAGCTCAGCCTGTGGTCAAGGTCAGGGTCTGTGCAAAGTGGGTCCTGGCACAGAACTTCTCTGCCTCTTCTCCTGCAGCAGGTAGGAGTCCGTGTTAACTGATTTCTGCAGAAGCAGTGTATATGGCTGATGTTCTGAGCTCGGTAACCCTCTTCTTGTCACAGGGCACCAGGCTATCTAGGAGGGATTATTTCCCTAGGTTTCTTGGTAGGAACTCAAGCTGAATATGTTGTTTTCCATGCATATTCTTGCTTTTTCCTGAAGCTGGTTTGGCCTTGAGAATATGGTTCTGACTACCAGGAATAATCCAGTAAAACAAATGCTTAGTCTAGATCTTGTCCCTGTGAGAGGAACTGTCCAAATGCGTTTTTGTCTGTGATGGCTCCCGGTTATGGCTGTGGTAGACTGGTAGGGGAGGGCAGTTAAACAGTACTGAGGTGCGCTGAGGACTTTCTCCAAATGTTATTTTTCTTTGCTTCTGTTTAGTAGTTCCCATCAGCCTGAAGTGCTGACAGCATCTTTCCAGGCCACAGGCCTGGCTTCCATTTCCACCAGGGGCTGGGGGAGGCCCTGTGGGTCACCCAGCTAGGCCTGGCCCAGCTGCAGACCCCTTGTTTGGATCACGCCCTTGCTGTCTGCAGGGCCATGAAGGGGACTTGATGCTTGGGGGTGTGCCCCCCATCTGGGTCACTGGGGCTGGTCAGTTACTACCCAGGTAGTAGGGGAGAAGGGATGGACACGCAGGACACTGTCCGATAGGCATGATCATCCTGGAAGCAATTACATGCGGGGCACCCAGTTGCAAAGATGAGTCTGACATTTTGCCTGCATGCCTGGGAGAATGAAAATGCCATTAACAGGAATTGGGAATGCAGAGGAAGAGATTGGTGGGCAGAGCCAGATGGCAGACCTGAGAGCACTGAGCATGAGGTGTTGGCAAGCTATGCCCAAGGGGATGACAGCCGAGAAGCTGGCAGGTGGCCTGGTCCTGGAGATCCTGACACTGTGGTACGCAGACGTCACCACTGTCATGTGATCCTGTGTGCAGAGACGGTGTAAGGAGAAGTTGAAGACAGACGGGCGATTCCTTTGTTTAAAAAAGAGGAGGAGGAATGGGAAGCTGCCCAGGAAACTGGGAACCTGTCAGAAAGGAGGAGGGGGCAGGGCAGCCCAGTGTATCAAAAAATAAAAATTTAATAGCCCATCAGAGAAATGAACTCTGCTAATTTTAGGAGAAAAGACAGATATTTAAAACATGCTTGGGTAACTTCCAGAATCTCTGGAAGGGCTAAAAACACGGATCTGGAACTCTGAGGGGAAGAATAGCAGCGCCACGGCCCTGGAACACCAGACATGTGGCTTGAGCCCCCGCCACCTCCGGCTCTGGATGCCAGCATTTCTCTGAGCACCGTGGCCACACTGATCCCGGAACTCGGTGTGGAAACTGGCATTTCGGCCAGAAAGAGGCCCTCCTGAGCCTCACGTCCATGCACCGGTAGACCCTGACTCCACGCACGGGGCAGGAGTGTCGGACTAGCAGAGTCTGGGTCCTGTGACTGTGCCCTGCACTTGGAAAATATCTGGTGTTTGCAGCTTCTACACTGAGAGGCGCGTTTATGAAAGGGTAGAGTGGATAGGGGGACTCCTGAGTGCGCATGTGTTTGGGGGGGCTGAGGAAGGAGGGGGGATCAGGAGAGGCAGAAGCAGAAAGCGTGACGTGGCAAAAACACCTTCTCAGAAGAAAGGAAGAGTGAGGCCCAGGTAGCTCCGGAGGGTGGTCTCCCTGGCCTCAGAAGGACCAGGATAGGGTGGGATGGCCCTGAGGGGGGTGGAGGGGCTCTGGGAAGTTCAGCTGCTGCACCCCAAAGGCGGACACCTGCCTCTTGTGAAGCCGCCGTTCCATGGCCAGCCAGACTAGGCCTTATTGGAAGGAATCTGACAGGTAGCAGATACATATCATTTTGCTGTGATCCCTCAGGAGTTGGGCATCAGCCTTCCTTTCTACTGCCCCTGCCCCCCACCTCCCTGGTGGAGAGACCCTCCAGGTGGCCTTTCCCTGAAGCCACTTGCAGCTCCACCCAAGTCCAGGGGCGGGTGGCCCCTCCTGGTCTTGCCAGGGCCCTGCAGCCTAGCCTCTGGGGTCCCCTGGCTGCCTGCCTGTTTCCACCCTCTCTGTTTCTTCTGTGAGCTCCTTAGGCTGTTCCTGAGATTTCTCTCTTGTTTAAGAAACCCATTTCCAAGTCCACAACCTTTGCTACGGTTACTCCTTGCAGTCTCTGCTCATTGTCTGGCTTCCACCTGCAGCCATCCAAGCTGGCAGCCCTTCAGTGCTTATGAGCAGAGGATTCCTCAGAGGGAAGGCTTACTCCCCTCGTAGAGAAATACAGTTTTATAGGTGCTGCTTATGATCGTATTGGGTTTCTTAACAGCTGTGCTCGTGGCCAACGACATCCCAGAAGGATTGTACACCCACCCCTGTCCCTGCTGTCAAATCACATCTTTCTCATCCTGTTCTTATTTGAGCACAAAGACAAGTGTAGATGGGCACAGGTGGTTTTGTCTGCCTCCTGCCCCTTCTGGGGGGCCACTTTCTTGTTCCGTGTGTCTCCCATGGGGCTGCCTGTCTCAGCCTCCCACCCTATCCCCAGTTACAGGGAAGATGCAGGCCTGGCCAGTCATTACCTCCTGCGCCTGGCAACGGCTAAGCATGAAGGCTCCTTCCCTATAACTGGAATACTCCCATGTTCTCTCTTGCCGGTGGTCCTCAGCTGCATGCGGGACCTCCCGAGCTGTACGGAGGAAGTCCACCTGCAGTGGGAGGTGAAGGGGCCAGCCTCCAGGAGCAAAGCAGAGCTCAAAGACAGGAAGAAAGAAGTAGAGTCCCACTGACGTCAACCGGATCTCTGCTTCTGACTATCAGAGACATGGAACATCCTTTCTCTTTAAGTTTGTTGAATTGGGTTTTTGTTACTTCCAAGCGGTGAGCCCTGACTAATAATAAGACTTTTTAAACTTAGAATGAAAATAATATGCTTAATTGTGCAAAACAGAGAGATCTTAAACAAACAAATCATTCCTGATTCTACATTTTCAGTCATACGAAGACATGGTCTTCTTTGTGTGTGTATGGTTGGGTGATGGTAAAATATGGCTTCAAGGGTCTTCAGCCAGTACACATGCCCCTTTGCATGGGGAGTTTGCTGCAGCTTCCCTCATGCAGGGTGGGGTAATCATTTCACCTGCCATCTGGGCTAGCCTGTGATTTATTTGAGCATTAGAATGCAGCTGAAGGGATGTACATGACCTTCAGAGGCACTCCAGCTTCTGTTGCTAACCTTCTGGGAAGACAGGGCCACATGAAGAAGCCTAGCATCCTGGAGGACGACCCCACAGGGAGACCAGGACAGCCCCACGCACAGCTGGCCCCCCTGTCGCTGTGAGCAAAGCCCCCTGGAGCCTCCAGCCCGGCCACCTCCAGCTGAATGCGACCCCAGAAGCCGGTCTCGACCAGTAAAGTGAAACCAGCAGAGGACCTGTCCAGCTAACTGTCCACAGAATCATGAGAAATAATCAACCTTAGTTGTTTTAACCCACTACATTTTGGGGGGTGGTTGATTATGCAGCCAAAGTAAGGTAAACAGATTGTGTTCTGCGCCTTTCATTGAACGGCACATTATTTCCACCACGTCATTAATACATTTATTTAAGTTCTTTTGGTTCCAACCACTGGAAATCAGCCCCGGCCAGCTTAAACAGAAAGGAAGTGCATTAGAAAAGTCCCCGGGGGTGTCTCAAGGAACAGAGAGAGGGAAAGTGGCGAAGGGAGAAGTCAGGGCCGTGGCGGGAGATCACGGACTCTCCCGCCAGGAGGCTGCCGGGCCTTCTCACCAGTCCAGCAATAATGACCTTTAAGTTCTCGGACGGTGTGACCCGGCTCCCCTGAGCAGTGTCCACCTCTGGATCCTCCAGTCGTGATGGAGGAGGCGGCAGGGCGCAGAGACCGGCGCAAAACCGTGGGTCAAGCGGGGGAAACCCCAGTATGGAAGCCTCGAGCCAGGTAATAACTCACTCATGGTCTAGGCCTGCTTTGTATCTGCTCGATAGTGTTGATTTCCCCAAACTTCTTTTCTTTCTAATCTTTTTGCAAAGAATGCATCAAAGCTTTTTTTAATAAAGGGGAGGGCTCTGTGCGGGGCCATTTTTGAAACTTGTCACCACGACCGGGGCCAAAGTCGTCTACTTCCCAACAACGCAGCTGAACCTGTCGCGGTTTTCTGGGCAAACGGTCTCTGAGCGCGTGGGTTAGCGGTTTTATTTAAGATTTTAAGATGTTTTCGGTGTGGACATGAAAGGAGACGTACTGAAACGTGAAACGGGGTTAAAGCCAGAATAACAGGTGACACATACGCATAAGCGGAAACGCACGTGCGGTCTGGAGGCGGGTCCCGGACCCCCACCGACGCCCCCGAGGGCACGGGCGCGCTGCTCCTCGGCCGGGCGGCCCCGAGCCTGGGTCTCCGGCCGGGGGGCTCGCCCGCGCCCCGCGCCGCAGCGGTCGCCCCCCGCGGCGGGCGGAGGGCCGGGCCGGGAGCGCGCGGGGGAGGTGCCTTCTCCGGGGCTGAGGCCGCGCCTCCGCCGCCCTCTGCCGCAGGAACGCGGGCCTCCGCGACGACAGCGACATCTTGCCGGGAGAGCTGTGGACCGCGCGCGGGGAGGAGGTAAGCGCGTGCCGCCCCCACGCCCCACGCGCTCGGGGGGCGCTCCGGGGCCCCAGCTCCGCGCGCCCCCCGGGCTTCCGCCGCCTCCGGCCGAGCGTGCAGGCCCCGGCCCCCGACCCCGGGCCGCCCACGCACGGCACAGCACCTCAGTCCCGCTCCGCGGCCGCGCGCCCGGGACCCTACCCGGGTTGCAGGCCCCGGCCGCAGGGTGTGCGCCCCCGCCTCGTTCGGGACCCGTCCTGGCCCCGCCCTCGCGCTCCTCCCCCATTCTGGCCCCACCCTCGCGCCCCGCCCCTGCCCGGGCCCCGCCCCCGAGTCCCTCCCCGCCCGTCCCCTCCGGGCGGAGCTCGGGATTTAAAAGTCGCGGCGGGCGGGCGGGCCTGCCGGAGGGGCGGGGCGCGCTCCTGGGCCGTGTTGTTCTCCGCAGGCGGCGGCGCCATGTCCCCGGGCAGCGGCGTCAAGAGCGAGTACATGAAGCGCTACCGGGAGCCGCGCTGGGACGAGTACGCGCCGTGCTACCGCGAGCTGCTGCGCTACCGCCTGGGCCGCCGGCTGCTGGAGCAGACGCACGCGCCCTGGCTCTGGGACGCCTGGGGCTCGGACGACTCGGCGTCGTCGGCCTCCTCGGGGCCCGACGGTGCCGCGCCCCGGTGCGCCCCCGCCTCGCCGCCCCCGGAGTCCCCGGAGCCCGCGGCGCCCGCCGAGCCGGAGGAGCAGGACGCGCCGGACGCGGCTCCTCCAGGTACCGAGCCGGGAGGGGCTCCGGGGCTGCTGCGCGGGCTGGGCTGGCGCTGCGCATCCTGCACGGCCCCGCTGTTTCTCCCAGCGCCCTAGGCAGGTTCTCGACCTGGTAGGCGAATCCGCCCATCGCGACAACGTCAGGACGGTGACGCCCGCCTCCGCCCTCCGCACCCTTTATTTCCGCGGTTGGGTGGCTCGGGGTTGAATCCCTGAGAACCCAGCTGAAGCGCTGCTGGAGAATCCAGGTCGTCGCTGGCCATTTTTTCTGAGGAGCCCAGCCCTCATCAGATTCTGACCCCAAGCGGCTGAGAGCTGATGAGGAAAGCGCTCTGTTTTAGGAATAGGGCGGCTGTGTTCTGCGCTAACTCCCTGACCTAGCTACGCTGTCCCCAAAGGGCGTTCTGCGTTTCTTCATGCAGTGTCGAATAACTCCTGGCTGGTGGGGGAGCACTCCTTGTCTCTCCGCTGCGTGCCCACCCGCTCATCAGAAAGCTCCCACCCTCAGGCTGTCAGTATGCAAGAGGAGGGGTGGCTGGAAAAATGGCCCTTGGGTGCTGTGCATCTGCTGTCGCAGCCGTGGCCCACACCTTCCTTCGTGCGCAGGGGTTGCACAGCTGGGGACTTTTTGCAGAGAGTGCTGCGGGCCGAACTGAGTGCCTCAGATGCAGAAATTGAGATCTTATTAGACATCCAATCGCCGATCTTAGAATATGTATTTTCTCATTGAGCATTCAAAAGAATTCTAAGAGGTAGGACCATAATTTTTATCTTAGTTTTAGAGATGTAGAAATGGAAGCTCAGGATGAATGATCAGTGACTAGTTTTGCTCATTTTCGCCATTTTAAGTGGGAATTAATCAAACTCTCTTTAGACTGATCCTAGCCTCTCTGCAAGGGGCAGAGGAAAGGAGATTCAGTCTTTGAGACTCTCAACAGCATCTTCAGTTATTCTCATCTCATCCTCAGCAGAAGAGTTGCTTCTCCATCCTCATGTTACCTGTGAATTCCCGCAGATTCCTGAATATCTGGAAGTTAGATTCGTAGCTTCAGCGATCTTTGCTAGAAATGCCTTCCCTTTTACTCCTGTGGGCATTGACCTGTCAGCTAAATTATGCCGTGCACGTGTATCAGACTGAGTACGTGTTTCTCACCGCGCCTTCACTGTGAAAGAGCTGTCAGTTATTTCTGTGCATCTATAAATACAGTTCTCAGATAGCACTGTAGCGTGGATGGTGCTGGTGTTTGCTTGAGTTCGTGATTATGTGGGGCTTCCTTTGAGACTGAACCCTCCAGCGGCTAAGGTCGCTTACTGCTTCTCTGCTAATATTTCTGGTTTAGGCGTCAGGGAGAAGAAAGGATGTTCTCTGCCTTCTGGACTCCCAAGTTCTGGGATCTTTTGCTTTGCTGCTGTCTGTCACAACCCCTGTTGATTCCAGCGTCCGGCAGCATTGAAAATCCTTGTTTTTAAGTGAACAGCTTCATATATGAGAATGATGAGCACTCTTGAGTCCCTATAAAACATAAACATTAGCAACAATCATCCCAATATGGCTTTCCCTTTGCTGTTTATTTCTATTTCTCCAAGTGACATGGCTTTTGATGCCTCTTGATGTTTTTTTCAGTTTTTCACATTATCTATCAGCTTAATTCTTTTTCCTTTTCGCCTAACCACACACACAGCCCATCTCCACCCCATCTTACATATACTCAGCGTAGTTTGTTGGATTCACGGTTAGCACCCACAGTATTGTGCCTCTGGGAAGTGCTCAGAGCTGCCCAATGTTGTTTGATGTGATTCCTTTTTCTTTCGCAACACAGTCAACGCATTAGGCTTGCTATCACCCCTGACTGTCTTAAGACATCCCTCCCAGGGCCTCTGACCTACTTCCACCTGGCCTGCCTGCTTGTTGAACCTGCTGCCCAGCCCGGTCTGGGGAGTGTCCTGGCCACCGCCCAGGGACTCGGCTTCTTTCTTGGGTAAGAGCCTCTGCCCTGTGGCTTTTACTTCTATTACTTTCTTGCTTCATCCCCTCCCCTGGTGGGGCTTATCTTCTAGTAGCTTCCTGAGAAAGGGTGTGTGAGAGGTTAACTTTCTGAGGCCTTGCCTGTCACAAGGTAACTTTATTCTGCTTCATGATTCAGTGTTTGTGGCTGGGCTTGGGATTCTAGGTTGGGAGAAACTCTTTTGTAAACAATGTGGAGGCGTAGGGCTGCTGCGCTGTAACCTCTGGTGCTGATTCTTGATCCTTTGTAGGTAAAACATTCTTCCCCAGGGAAAATCTTAGGGTCCTGTCAGTTCCAGTGTTGAAAGATTTCTCTGGGCTGGGGCTCTGGTCCGCCTGGGCGCTCGGTGGGTCCTTGTGGTCAAATTCACGTTCTGTAGTTCTGCTTCATTTTCCTGAATTTTTTTCTCATTTCTGTTTCCCTTTTTCCTGTTCTTTTCTTTCTAAACTCCTTAGTTGGATGCCAGGCTTCACGAATTCATCGCCTGATTTTCTAAGTTGTCCTGATTTCTGTCTGTCCCTTTCTTCCATTTTTCTGGGTGATATTCTCAACCTCCCAACTCTTCTATACATTTATCATTCATGGGATCCTATTTATCCTTGAATGGACATGCTTTTGCACTGTTTTCTGGACCTTCCTTCCTACTTTCCTTCACACTTTCCCTCCTTTTATTCCTTTTTAAAAAAATAGGTATTTTGTTCTTGATTCACATGCAGTATCTTGAGTTAAGGTACCTGAGATTTTTTATGTATTTATTTCCTTCTTGCATGTTTCCACACCGTAGTCTCGGTTTCCCCTTCCTCTCCCATTTTGGGTTCTTTTTGCTTCTACTCCTGAATTTCCTGTGAGAGGCTTTTCTCAAATGTCTGATGATCCCTGGCTTCTCAGTCTTACTGAAGATTTGGGGAGTGAAGGCCTGTGTGGACCGTGTGCAGCCCGGTGGGGGCGTCTCACTGGGTTTATTTTTCCCTCCATGGCCAACATACTGTCTCCGACTCCTTTCTTCATAGTCACATTTCTTTTTAAATTAAAAAATTTTTAGCAAAGTTATATAAATGCATAATTAAAAAAAATATCCTTAAAATGAAAGTCATCCTGACCCATTTCCCATGAACAGCCCTTGCTTTCTGCGGGGAAGGTGCGCCTCTTAACTCTCCGAGTTTCCTCTCAGCATATCCCCCCTCTTCTTATGTAGCCTTAGCTGCGGACTTATTTTAAACATTATTATATGTACATTGACTTCCCATTACGGGAGATGATTTATCTAGAGGTCTGAGCTCTGTCACCCCTGCTCCCAGACAGACACCAGCACTTATCATGTCCCTTGTGTTATTAACTATATGAGTATTTTGTTTAAGCACTATTCTGGGTTTGAATGATCACGGCTATGTAAATATTATTTGCAGGTAAGCCACACAGTCTATTCTGATTACATGCTCTTTGTTTATGTTTTTTCTAAAGTTAATCATCACTTCACTTTTTTTATATTACATTCCCATCACTAATTCAGCTTGAAATAGTCTTGGTAGCTATTGTAAAACTTGTCATATGCTAGACACATTAGGGGTTCTATTCATTTAATGTTTTTCCTTGTAGTAGACATTTTCTTCAAACCCTTAATGCTCCTGCTCTGATGGAGACTTTATGCAGCTCCGCTCTGACACCGCTGCAGACTGGGGCTTCTCTGCACCGTTGGCCTGAATATCCCGGTCGTTTACCTCCTTTATCTGACCCCCTGTCTTATATCTCAGTCTTCCTGGACTTGGCCTCCCCCTTCCTTTTGGGGCTGCGATGCTCTCTAAGTCCTGAGAAATGCTGCATGGAGGAGAACATTTTGAGGCCCAGCAGGTTTGAAAATGCCTCTGTTATATCCAAAGGTGGGACTGATATTTCATCAGAGTAAACAATTCTAGGTAAGAAATTTCAGTGTTTGAAAGCACAGGATTATTTTGAATCCTAGCTTTTTTTGTTTTGGTCTTGCTGTTGAGAGGTACCAAGCCATTCTGACACCTGCCTGGTGTGTGTGACCTCCTTTCTTTCTTTCCTTTCTTGGGGGGGGGTAGTTTTTAGAGGTTCTCTTTATCCCCACTGTTCTAAAATTCTGTGTGTCTGTTCTCATTCACAGGGCTGACAGCTTGGTGGGCTTTTCCAACCTGGAAACTTCAATTCCAGTTCAGTGATATTTTCTAGTACTCTTTAAAATTTCTTATACTCTATTTAATTTTTCTTTCTATCATTATTTTTAGTTGGATGGTGTACCTCCTGGATCAAACCTCTAACATTTTTATTTAAATTTTTTTTTTT